GCAGAACCAAACTCTGACAGAGTCAGCTTGATGTCTGCAGAGAGGATAAAAGATAGAACAAAGAGTTCATTGATGCTAAAATGATAGCTGGCACTGTCAGGGTAACTGAGCATTAGTTCATTAGTTTGATTCGTAGGGGGGAACACAATTTCATTTATCGTTCTAGGGTGTCGTATAGAGTATAACTAATTTCAAGAATTCCCAGCTATATTTGTTGTGCGAATCAGAATACCCTGGCTTTGCAAACCAGAGTTTTATGGCTTAGCATATTGAGCAATCAGCCAATTGTGGTTTATTTAATGAATCACAATTAAACAAATGATGACTAATATTGATGAAAGAACTCTGATGGATTGTTAATCTGTATAGTGTTAGAATACTGAGAAGAATTTTAAAGGTGGAATATGTTGATTGTGTTTATAAACTTTCATGATCTGTTTGGATTGTAGGTAATGGATTTCTGATCTGTTCAAATGCTGACTAATTGAAGTAGAAAGAAAAGCCCATTAACACACACAAAAAAATAATAGATTTCTGAACACCTATTTGACAGCTTTAGAATTTTTATACCAATAGTCTTCGACATACAACCATTCATTTAGCAACTGTTAGTAGTTACAACACCGTAGAAAAAAATGACTTACAACCATTGCAACATTCCCATGATAACATGCTCATAATTTGGGGGCGTGGCAACTGGTATGTATTTATGATGGGTTGCAGCATTGAGGGGGTCATAGGATCACCATTTGCAACCTTCCTAGCCAAGCAAAGTCATTGGGAGAAGCGTGTCTTGCTTAACGATGGTGGTTGTAAGTTCAGAAAATGGAACCGTTTATGTTATAGGTGCTTAATGAATGTTTCAAAGCAATAAGCCTTTGCCACCTGATATTTCATCTATCTAGCTGATAGGGGATCAAAGTAAAGTCTAAAGTTTACCCGTCTTAAAAAAAAAAAAAACATGAGAGATTAGCGGAAATGAAATGACTTCATGCATGTTCCGTTTCATTGTCTTGGCTGTAGTACGGGTGTTCGCCGTTGCTGCCTTGTGGAGGGAAGATGAGGAGCATCTCAGCCTAACCCTATTTGTGGATTTCCTATAGGTTTTTTTTTACCTGAGTACTAATCAGATCCAGCCCTGCTCATTTTTTTTTTTAGATCAAATGAGGTCTGGTAGAACCTGGCAACTAAGGATATACTTGCCAAGGCAAGCAACATATGAATGAAAAGGGCCTTTAAATAGATGTTTATGAGTGGTGGGAGGCTATGATCACGGCATTTAGTGCTAAAGCAAAATATTTTCTATTGAAAAGGACTCAAATATATATTTTTAGTAATAAAGGTGCACATTTTTTTCAGGTTCATAAAGGTGTTGAACGTCATGGGAGAGGGGGAGAAAGCTCTGGGCTATAATGATTCTTTCCTGAAATTACCGTGGAAGGACTCAAGCACATTCTCTTTGGGATAACCAATTGGGACTATCTGCTAAGTAGCAGTGAAATGACCATCGGATAGCACTCCCAACTCCAACTTCCAAGTTAGGATTTCGCAACCATGGCGGCTTTAAGAGGTGTGGACTTCAACTCCTAGAAATATGGCTGGCGGGAGAATTCTGGGAATTGAAGTTCACACCTCTTCAAGTTGCTAAAGTTGGGAAACCCTATGGTAGATGACTCAGAAGGACACCATGGTTGATGGCAGTGGTGGGATCCAATTTTTTTTTACTACCGGTTCTATGGGCATGGCTTGGTGGGCATGGCAGGGGAAGGATATAGTAAAAACTCCATTCCCTCCCCACTCCACTAGCCTGCTTTCCAGCTCCGTTCTTCTGTGCAGGGCAACAAAAGAAGACCCAGCCGATCAGCTGGGACTCAATGGGAGGCAGAGAATAGATGGGGGTGGGGCCAGTCAGAGTTGGGATTTGCTGGTTCTCCGAACTACTCAAAATTTCCACACCGGTTCTCCAGAACTGGTCAGAACCTGCTGAATACCACCTCTGGCTGATGGTATTAAAAACTGTTGAGAAACTATTGTTCCAAGAAGAGTACAAGGCCCTGTCTAAGTCCCAGCAAAATTCATTCATCAGAGCTTCCCAGGCAGCTTCTGACCATTGACGAGACTTGAAAACTGTCTGACATTTTATGTGTGTTGTATGTGCGGGTGTGTTTTATGTTGTATATTTTGTATTAGTTTTTCTTCATTTTGGCAGGGTGCATGTTCTATTCATAATATATTATTTTATTTAAACATTAAATTAAGTTGTGTGTTTATCCCATTATACTGTGGAATTCTCCAACAGTGAGATGAAGGGCGTATACATTTCATTAATAAATAAACACCTGTGATCTTATATTGTGATGAATGCAGCTTTCCTGTTGTTAGATAGAGAAGCCATTTTTGAGACTATAAAAAGTTTTCCTTATTGCTCAATTTGTTAGCTTCCTCAAAAAATTATTATCCCAATAAAGGATACTCTTCCAGTAGTTTGTTTAGATTCATCTAATTCACTCTTAATGAAATAACAGTTTCTTGTTTATGTATTTATTTGGCACATGAACAATTTGGCTTTGAATTAATTTTTCCATGTTTCTACTATCTTCTACTAAGCCTATGCAACCAACTCTTTTTCAAGATGTCTCTAAGAAAAAAGCCTAGGTCCAACTTCTTGGGATTTTTTTTGAAATATTACTGTACTAAATATTATACAAACGGGTATCACTGTGAGGTCCTTGGTGCTCTGTGAGCTTGGTGACTTTTTTTATATTTAAAAATCTTTATTTAACAAATTCTACAATTAAAAAACAATTAAAAACATATTTCCATTAATTGCAGCATATTTGTAGTAGTGTTCACTCACTTTGACATATTCTTAAGTATGTAGAATATTACTAAATATTATTACAATTATTTTACATTTGATTTATGTCATATTTTCATATATTTACGCAGTTATTTACTTATTTATACATGTGTACATAGTTATGCCTATTCATACCAAATTATTTCATCACACCATAATCTTTCATTTCATCGCTCTATTTTGTGTTTACCTTGCAGCCAATTATACCATAAATTCCAAATTTTGTAGTAATTTGTCTCTTCTCTCTCCTTCTCTTCTCTCTCCTTCATTTCCATTGAAAGCCTATCCATTTGTGCACACTCCAAAACCTTTTTTATTATCATAATATCGGAGGGAATGCTGTCAATTTTCCAAGTCTGGGCAAAGGCTATTCATGCTGCAGTTATTCTATTTTTTTTTTTTTTATAAATAAAGTTTATTAATTTTTACAATTAAAACCAGTCACAATACATACACAAATAAGCAAAAGAAAGAAAAAGAAAGAAGAGAGAAGAGGAAGAGAGGGAAAGAATTTTGAGAAAAGAAAGAAAAAGAAAGGGGGAAGAAAGAAAGAAAGAAAGAAAGAAAGAAAGAGGTTACAAGATAAAAAGTATTCTTATTTTAACAGTTTGCAAGATCTTCTTTTGTTTTCATAACCTTAACTTGTGTCATAGTTAAAAACAGGTGTGGTTATATGACACAAGTTAAGGTCATGCTGCAGTTATTCTATATCATATAATATAATGGAGTTTTTTACTTATGTTATCTCTTCATATACCCAATAGGAATGTCTCTAGTCTCAATTCAATTTTCTGTTTTGTAATTTCCTCAAGCCATTTCCTAATTTTAAACCAATAATTTTTAGCTTGAGGGCATGTCCACCACATATGGAAATCGGTTCCCTGTTTATAATTACACTTCCAACAATTTGCTGATCTATTAGGGAACATCTTAGCCAATCTTGCTGGGGGTAAATGCCAATGGTAAAACATTTTGTATACATTCTCTCTGTATGCTGCTGATAGAGTTAGTTTATAGTTTATTTCCCATAATATTTTGAGCTTGGTGATTTTCATGCAGGCATTTCATTACCAAACTAGGTAACATCACCAGTGCTAAAAGGACTTGCTCTTATTTTTATATTCTAGTGGCTTGCCCTGTAAGTATCGTGGTGGTTCCTTGATTAGGCTTGATTATTGCTTACAATTGGCTTGTTTTGGTACTTCCTTGATTGTGGTATTATTTACTTTTTGATTGTCAGTCTAGTGTTGGTCTTAGTGTTAATTTCTACTCACGTGGATATTGATTGCTGGTGAGGAGGTGCTGTGGTTTTTTGGTTTCCTTTTGGGCATTTTGATTGTCTCTTTTGAGTGATGTGTAGATGTTGTTTATATACTTGTTGATGGCTGATTTATCTGAGTGCCAGGTGGGTGTGGGCTGTTTACAATGTCAGCATACAGTAAAGCCCCCAACAATTGGCGTCCTCATTTTACCAGCCTTGGAAGGATGGAAGACTGAGGCAATAGCTTTTTCTTCCTATATTTCTTCTACATGCTGGCTAGATTAATGTAAAATATGGAGGAGTTATTTGAGTGTTCTTTTCACGTATAGGTAAAAGAGCAAAAACCACTTTTATCAAGAGAAGAAGAAAATGCACTCATTATATTCCTTTGTTGCAGGAATATTTTTTCTACATTTACTGAATTTTAGGTATTTTTGAATGGCAGGGCTTCAGAGAGAAGTTATGAGATAGAAGAATTCAGAGCAGAAATGGGATGGACTTCTGAAATGAAGTGGAGACAATAGATATCTGCATTTATCATCCAGATAATTTATTTTTCATTCCTGCCTGCATGCTGTTGTTTGTCAGTGAATAGCATTCACAATTAAGTGGTAGGAAAACAGAAAAGTTTTCCCAGCATTGTAACCTCCTGGAGACACTATTACTTTGATAATTCTGGTCTGTTGCAACACTCCACCCTATCTTATCAAGATAGACTTCATTTCAAAGTGTATCTGCTCCCGATTCTTCTACTGCAAGTATCTAATCCTTAGAGGCAGTTAATAAAATTTTGATGCCAACAACGCAGCTTATTTTGTTCTGGAAAACTCAGTATTTCTTCTCTCACTCTTCCTTTCCTCCTTTGATGTCTTCCTTTAGATCTGGCAGATTGCAAATTGATTACATTCCCTATCGCTCTTTATAAAGTCATGAGGCATGTCGCTGAAGGCATACATCTCATCACGTTGGCCAACAATGAGCTGAAGTCTGTGACCAGCAAATTCATTATCACTTTTAGCCAGCTGAGAGGTAGGTGTGCATCTCTGGAGGTAACAAGAAGAAGGAAGTGTGTCTGTTGTTGCTATTCCTTTTCCAAATGTTAGGACTTCTTCATTTTAAAAATGTATTTATGCTGTGTGTTACATATTTTTTCCTCAGTAATCATGAATGTGGACGGTTATAGATTGGTAGTAAAACCCTAATTGTCAAAATATAGGTAATCCTCAACATATAGCCGTTTGTTTAGTGACCATTTGAAGTTACAATGGCGCAAAAAAAGGTGACCTATGACCTATTTTCACACTTACTACCATTGAAGCATCCCCATGGTCATGTGATCAGAGTTCAGATGCTTGACATCTGATTCCTATTTATGATGATTGCAGGTTCCCGAGTTCATGGGATCACCTTTTGCAACCTCCTGACAAACTCAGTGGGGAAGCTTAAAATTCACTTAACAACCGGGTTAACTAATTTAACAACTGCAGTGATTCACTTAACAAACGTGACAGGAAAGGTATCAAAATGGGGCAAAACTCACTTAACAAATGCCTCACTTAGCAACATAAATGTTGGGCTCAATTGTGATTGTAAATTGAGGACTAGCTATAAAAGAGTCTTTCTAGAGATGGGTGGCAAATAAATTAATCATTAATAAAATTACCCCTCTCTCAAACTTGATAAGCAATGTGATCATCTTAGCTTCTCCCAGCTTCAGAAATGTATAATAAGAGGTAAGATCTGACCACCAGCAAAAATTACACATGGGAGACTTCTGTAAGATGCTTATTTTTCGAATTTTAGATTGAACCTTCTTGCTGTTGTGATGATGTTGTTACTCTGCCTTGAAGCAAAGTTGAGGTTTATATCTTCCATTTTCTGTAGAATTTTCTGCAATGTGGAATAATCCTGTGTCCTTCAGTAACCCACCAGTTTTATTGTTTTCATTTAACCAGAGGTTTTCAAACAGGGCTCATTCCCATAAGTGTCTGAGCAGCTTAGGGCATTTTTTTTAAATTAAACTTACATGGATAAAATGGAACCACTTTCAAAACTCACTGGCCTTCTCCTTCATTGTACAAGTCAGCTGCAGGCAATTGTGACAATCTTGATAGATAGATTAAAATTTATTTTGTAGAAGCAAGGGGTTGTATTATCTCATGCCAGTTCCATTAGTTTCATTTGGAGGGAGGTCAATCAGAATCTTTTATCACAAAGTGAGCTAGTATCCATCAATGGAAAGTAGAATAGTGGCACAACTCTGTTGCCGGTAAAGTAATTTATAGTGCTGGTGTCTGTTGTCAACAGTATAGGGAACTGGAGGAAGGGGTTAAAATACTGATTTCATACACAGAAGATAGGAATGAGAAGAAGAACTAGCACGTTATCTTTTAAGGTGAATGAATGATTCCCTGACAGATTTAATTAACTCCCTCAAAGGTTAAAAGGAATTTTGTAAGATTGTTTGAAAAGTAGTAAAAGTTAGAGGGCATTTGAGGAATATGTAGAGTGAAACTGTAATCAAATTGTTGTGTATAAATAACATGAGCTTTGATGAAATATATACTGAGGAAGCAACAGTATGTGGTTGTAAAGAAGGATTAATGAGGTTCGACAGGCGCAGAAGAAAATTGCATACTGTATTTTGATAAAACAATTCTAACAGACAAACAATTGAGCGGCTGAGTGAATAATATTTATAGAGGAAAGATACATATGATTGCTTATGTTTATTTTTTAAAGGTTTCTGTACTGTTAGCTATTCAAAGGTGTGGGAGTACATTGTGTCTCCTTACAAATCATTTAATCATTGATTGAATGCACATTTTAGTAGCTGTGCAAGCTTTGATGCAAAACTATGAAATGATGAAAGGAAAATTTAAGTGTCCCTCCAACTATAATTATCAATTATCCTAGCAGTGTCTGTTGTACACTGTTGAAATAAGTCATCTCTAGCATTGTCTTTATCCAACTATTTAGCTGGAAAGCCAAGAATATAAGTTAGGAAACCTTACAGAGTTGGATTCTTCTTTCACATTAAAAATTGTAGTTGGCTTTTGAGTGAAGTGCTGGGTGGGGAGGGGCTTACCCCAAAAAGGAGATTGTACAAGGCAGATTAGTAGGCAAGACAGCAACCATGTTTGGTTTGATTTCATTTCCAGATTATTTAAATTTCAATTTAAGATTTTGAACTAGTTGTGCCTATAGAAGACCAACCCAATATCTATTCAGTGGAAGAAAAGAAGACTGTTTACAGGGCCAGTGGAGAACAGAGAACAAACACTCTTGACTGCTTACCAAAGCACTGGCAATTTCATTATTGAAGAAGTGAATTAATTTTAATCACTCTATGATCAGGCTAAGTTAAGCTAGCCTTTCAGTCCTTATTCACACAGTAGCTGACATTATTTATGCACCGGTTGCTCTTTTCCTAGCTCAGAGCTTGGAAAAATAGGCCTTAAGATTAGGAAATGATGTTTGAGAATTTGCAAAACCAGGCAGAAAATGAAATGGATGATGATTTGCAGGAAGAAATTGGCTTTCTGAATCTTGACACTAGATGTATGCAATTCTATATTTGTGTTTCAGCAGTGTCAGCCCCACTAAGTAAACCAGACCATAATATTAACTCCACAGGAAGGCAAACATTACTTTTATTAAGATTTTATTAATAACAGAATCTTACAAGTCAGATAACTCCTCTTTCTTGTAGTTCAGTGAATTAAGAAGGAGGCTGGCTGAGGCCCTTACAAATGTTATCTCGCTCTTCTGGACTTAAAATTTTTCAGCTCCCTTTGCCTAGGCAACAGGACCTGCATCTCTGTATCAAGGTCATCATCTTCCTTACTTTCTCTATAAGATAGAAAGAGTTTTTTTTCCAAAGGACAGCTGCATGAGCTTTGGAAGAGCAAAACAGAAGGATATTTTGGAGGGCAGTAGCCAGCCATATGGTAAAGAGGATGGAATGACGAGAACAACCCAGGCCGGTTCCAAGCTGGGAGAAAAGTGCTGGAAATAAAATGGAGGCTGACTGGCTTCAAGGAAAGAAGGTTTATTTGGATTCCAGAAACTTCATTGACAGCAGCAATGTTTCTGGGGTGGCTGACCCCTTGACTTAGGAATGGATGTATTTTTATAGCGTTCTGAGATGCTCCAGTAGGTTGTGCAAAGTAGTGAGGCCTTGTGTCTTTTGCTATTCTAATGGTGGCAGATTAATCCTAATATGTCCTGAAGGCCATGTCCTGTTCTTAGAATTTGGGTGGGGGATGTAAATTTTAATTCCATCAGCTCCAACCTTCTGTGCATTTTGTTGATGAATAGATTGGCCCCGTCTTTCTCAGTGGGCTTCTGCTATTAAGAAAGACTGGGGCTGCTTTCTCCCTTTAAGAACATGTTTTCTCTATTTCTCCTTTGGGGAAATATTCTATATTCTGCCTTTCTTAATATTAAGAATAAATAATATTTTAATTTGGAGAGAGGGGGCTTCCTACAAGTACAGTGTTATTACCTAAAATACAAAATATGCGTGCTATATCATATAGGAGAGCCAGTATTTTTGAAGGAAGTAATTGACCTTTCTCCCTGGAGATTAATACTAACCTGCACTGACAAGCAATTGACTGCACTGACATGACATGCTATAACAGGCATGGGCAATTTAGAAGACACCAATTGTCTTTTTTGTAGCTGTCAGAACCTCCTATGACTGTGGCACAGAATGGGCGTTGGTAGAAGTTACCCTGAACGCCTTTTCTATCTATGCTGCGAGAGAGCCCAGGATGGGTTGACTCCTTCCTATGACGTCATTTAGCTGAGTCTGTACTAAGATATAAAAGCCAGACCCCGGAAGTTACCCCAGCTTTGACAAAGATACTTGACAGACTGAAAGGTGTTTCTGAAAGCACAAATGAATACAGAAATATGACTTACCCTCTCCAGACGAATCAAGGGAGGGGCTGGGCTCTCTCACAGCATAGATAGAAAGGGCGTTCAGGGTAACTTCTACCAATGCCCATTCTCCTCCATGCTGCATCGAGAGCCCAGGATGGGACATACCAAAGCTTGCATGTCCATGGGCGGGTCCTCGTCCAGCTCATCACACCGACTGTTGAACCACTCGTTGAAGCACCTGTCTGCCGAAGGCTGAAGTTGCCAAGGCAAAAGCATCCAGACGGTAGTATCTGATGAAAGGAGATGGAGATGTCCACGTGGCTGTACGACAGATCTTCTCCAAGGGTGCTTGGGTTGCCCAGGCAGCCAAAGTGGCCGCGTTTCTGGTAGAGTGCGCCATCAGAGTTCGAGGAACCGGAAGGCCGTAGCTTTGTAGGCCTGCTCAATGCAAGATCTGACCCACCTGCTAATAGTAGAAGAGGCCTTGTGCCCCAAGTGAGAAGGGAAAAGGAAACAAACATGGCTTCTGACTTCCTGAAGGAGGAAGTGTGCTTAATGTATATTCTAAGAGCCCTTCCTACGTCTAGCGTGTGCCACTGCTGCTCAAAGTCATGGTGCGGGAGGGGGCAGAAGCCAGGCAACATAATGTCCTGGGACCTGTGGAACAGGTGTTAACCTTTGGAAGAAATGAGGGGTCCAGACTGAGGACAACCCTATCATCGTGAAAGGAACAAAGGTCCTGTCTGATGGAAAGAGCAGCAAGCTCAGATACCCGCCCGGCTGAAGTGATGGAAATGGGGAACACTACCTTCAGAGTCAGGAAACGGAAAGACAATGTTCTAAGGGGTTCAAAGGGGGGCTTCGTAAGGGCATTAAGGACCTCATGAAGATCCCAGGAAGGATACCTGTGAACCACCGGGGGTGCAGGTTGGAAGTCCCCCTTTCAAAAAAAACTTCCTGACTGAAGGGTGATGGGATAAGGAAGGAAGTGAACCCCATGAAAGAACCGAGGAGAGGGCCTCAACCTGCCTGTGTAAGGTGTTGGGGGCCAAACCTTTCTACAGATCATGCTGAAGGAATCTAAGAACCTCTGCCAACTGGGCTGAAGCAGGAGAGAGACCCTCCCTAAGGAACCCTCG